CGCCCAGACTTTTTAGAGTGAAGGCACAAGGTTCCATGGGTCAGCAGAGAGAAGTGGAGAAAGAAAAGGGGGCAAGGGTCCCCGTCTCCCAATTTAGTCTTCAGTCACAGGGCATCTCTGCTCCTCCATTGTCCACCAAGAAAGGAAAATTTGAGAAGATAAATTCGGAGGGCAGAATGAAATGAGGAACGCTGGGAGACATCACCTCATGAGGGCGCCCTGGCCTATGAAAAGGCCATTGAGGAGCCTGAGGAAAGAGGAAAGAAGACTGACCGGTTTTTGAAAGGGCTGTAGATTGCGAGTAGTTGAAATGTGGTGGAGAGAGACTCACCACCCTCTAAAAAGGGCGTAGAACAGGAGCGTTCTCCATGGAGTCTCATCAGCAGAAGCCAATAAAGACGTCATCTCAGAGAAACCAGCACATGCCCAGAGATACCAGGAGGCCAAGCTGGAGACTGTGCTAGAGGTTGCAGTCCAGTGAAGTAGCAGGGGTCCTGGGGGCAAATTCAGATCTGCCTCTAATTCAGCATACAGTTGGGCACGCCGTATTCGTGTCTCTTCATCATGATAGGACAGCAAATTCTGCTTTCCCAACTCTGCTGTATGCCCCAATCAATTGTTATCTAGCACAGGAGGCGTGGGTACCACCGAGAACATTGGATGTGTAGCTGTGTATCCAGACACATTTAACTTATTGCGTGTCCTTGGGCAAATTATGTAACTGAAGTCTATTTTTTCTCATTGTAAAGTGAGGATACAGAGGTTTTGTGTGAGTTAGATACAATACAATTTAAAAGCCTGTAGTTCTGTGTCTTGAAACATAGTCATTCCTTCTGCAATGAATCAGAGATAATTGTACACTTTGAGAAACTGTACATTTAACCAGCGCCTCTTACGTTGCCTGGTGCAACAATGAGAATGGTCTGAGCATGTTTCTTCAGCTGCCCCTGAGCCTGCAGAACTGTGTTCTCACAAGTAGAGGGTGACATATAGGGGGAAAGGGGCAGGTAGAAGGAAATTCTCTGGCTCAAACAGAACATATAAAGAAGTTTGGGAAGACCAGACCAGACAGAAGGGATAGAACAGACTTCCTAGACCCTACATAACGTGCGGTTTTCAATTTTCACCATACCTTACATAGAAATATTTGTTTTGAGCAAACCTACAGCTATTATCTTAATTGGATGGTCAAGCTTCAGGTTTAGAGCAAAACCTAGGAAGTCTGAGCCCCATTTATCTCATACTGTTGTAAGTCTTGGGAAAATTAGAAAGAAGCAAGGCCTCTTTGGGATCATGAAGCGCTTTTAAGTAACCATTTGGTCTAGGGAATGAAACATCTGTAAGTTCCCAAAGGCAATTTATTAAGGAGGATTGGAAAGGATAGTCTTCTTGCCTCCTCCTTTGAAGGAGTTAAGAACTAAGGCTTTCCATCAAAACTCAGAACAATTAAGTTTAATTATGAAAAGATATTGGGTAGGAACCAAGTGAGCTTTGTGCCATCGATTCTGAGGTAAATAGTGGTCACCATAGGAACCAGAGGGTAGAAGTAACCCAGGTGGCATTCCCGCAGTATCCACTGGTGGCAGGCCAACCTTTAGGAGAAATGAACGTTACTTTTCTTGGACATGGCATCAACATAGGGTCAAACGGATTTTATCAGAACATTTAGGATATTGTTAATCCAATCATGAGTCTGTTGAATAATGATATTGTTTTGTCACTTTTCCCAAGGATTTTAAAAATTAAACTTTCCGCTCTGTACCAAGCACAAAAGTGCTATGCGTAGTGTAGGGTTCAGGGCCGAGTTCATGAAAAATTTCCCATCTAGGATGGAGGTTGGGAAACTATAGCTTGTAGACCAAATCCTGTTTGGAGGTTATTTTTGTAAGGAAACTTTCATTGGAATTCAGCCATACTCATTCATCTGTATATTGACTATGGATGCTTTTACACCACCATAGCTAAATTGACATGTTGTGACTAAGACTGTATAGCTCAATATTCCTCTAATTGTTATGATCTGACTTTTTACACACACAAAAAACTTTGCTAACCAATAATTTAAGGGGAACCTACACTAAGGATAAAGCATTGAATTACAGGTATGTAATTGATCAGTCACTTATCTTCAAGCCCAGGACCTTACTATGGTTACTGTCCCAAAGCTAACTCAACCTCAATACATAAATTTCTATGGGCATTGAAGCCATACTGGCTTCCTACCCTGAGAAGTTATTTAAGCAGCTTAACATATGGATAAATAGGGCCTGTAGGAAAAGTTGAAAATATAAGCTGTCAGTTTTAAATAATAGAAGGGAAAGAATGACTCTGACATTATTTGTCATGATTTTTTTTTCTTAATGGATTTCAATTTCAAGAAAACATTGATTCTTAAAAAGCAACTACACTTGCTGCTACCACATTTTGTTTTAGCCTATTTTGAATGACATAAATATAAAAAAGAATAGTATCATTTTATGCTGCAAGATTTTATTTATAAAAAACAGTTGAAATTATCACATCTTACTTTTAAACTCAATTGCCCTATTACCCAATTGTCCTATCCAGAGGCATATGATTAATAACACCTGTTTTGATTCCCATTTGCAGAGAGTAGATCACTTTCCCAACAGAGAACATATTAACCAGCTCACGGTGCTGGCTTCAGGGAACAGGTCTTCTCACCCTGCATTCTTCATCCTGCTTGGAATCCCAGGCTTGGAGAGTTTCCAGTTCTGGATTGCCTTTCCGTTCTGTGCCATGTATGCTGTGGCCATCGTTGGAAACATCACTCTCCTCCATGTAATCTGAATTGACCACACCCTGCATGAGCCCATGTACCTCTTTCTGGCCATGCTGGCCATCACTGACCTGGTCCTCTCCTCCTCCACCCAACCTAAGATGTTGGCCATATTCTGGTTTCATGCTCATGAGATTGAATACCATGCCTGCCTCATCCAGGTGTTCTTCATCCATGCCTTTTCTTCTGTGGAGTCTGGGGTGCTCATGGCTATGGCCCTGGACCACTACGTGGCTATCTGCTTCCCACTCCGACACTCTAGCATCTTGACCCCATCAGTTGTGATCAGACTGGGGGCTGTTGTGATGCTGAGAGGGCTGCTGTGGGTGAGCCCCTTCTGCTTCATGGTGTCTAGGATGCCCTTCTGCCAATACAAGTCATTCCCCAGTCATACTGTGAGCACATGGCTGTGCTGAAGTTGGTGTGTGCTGATACAAGCATAAATCGTGGGTATGGGCTCTTTGTGGCCTTCTCTGTGGTTGGCCTTGATATGATTGCCATTAGTATGTCGTACATGATGATTTTGAGAGCTGTGCTTCAGTTGCCCTCAGGTGAAGTCCGCCTCAAAGCTTTTGGCACATGTGCCTCCCCTATCTGTGTCATCTTGGCTTTTTATATCCCAGCCCTTTTTTCTTTCCTCACTCACCACTTTGGTCATCATGTGCCCCGAGTGGTAAGCATTCTGTTTTCTAATCTCTATCTACTGGTACCTCCCATGCTCAACCCCATTGTCTATGGAGTTAGAACCAAACAAATAAGAAACAGGTTTATCCAAGGATGTTTTGGAAAAATCCTTTGAACATGACCAGCACTTAAGTTGCCCCACTGATCAGGGGACATAAATGAATATTTTTCAGGCCATTATATATCATAACTAAGTCAGCTCTGTAACAATTGGCCAAGAGGCAGATAACCCTTCAGAAACAAAAGGAACAATTTTCAGGATATCCAGTCTAAGTGATCTCTGAGAGATGCCATAACAACTTAATTGACCTAAGTTCATCATCACAAGAAAACAGTAAGAATAAGACTTTAATTCATCTGGAGTTAATTTTAGTATAAGGTGTCAGGAAGGGGCCCAGTTTCTGCTTTCTGCACATGGCTAGCCAGTTTTCCCAACACCATTTATTAAACAGGGAATCCTTTCCCCATTGCTTGTTTTTGTCAGGTTTGGCAAAGATTGGATGGTTGTAGATGTATGGTGTTGCCTCCGAGGCCTCTGTTCTGTTCCATATGTCTATATATCTGTTTTGGTACCAGTACTATACTGTTTTGATTACTGTGAAATCAATTTTCACAATTGATTGTGAGTTGTGTTGAAGGTGACCATTAAATCATTCTTACTACTGGATGCCCAACTCTTACCAGCCTGGAATAGAGTAAGTGCTAAATAGGCCAAGTTGATTTGTTACATGAAGAAATATGTGAATGATGAATATTGTGTTCTAAAGACGTCTCACATAGCTTTCTAAGAAGTGAATAAGCCACTGTATTCTGTCTCATTGTTTCTCTGGGAGCTCTCATTCTCACTGAACAGGTGAGTACAGGAGCCCAGAGTGCATTGTTGTTTATGGGCTCATTGACAATGGTAATGCTTCTAGTAGCAGCTACAGAAGAAACGAGCCCTGAGGTATTATCCTTTTCCCAAGGTCCTGGACATTAGGCTTGAGATTGCCTTAGGTATAGCAAAGGAAGAGAAGGACTGCAGTAGCCAGAGACCTGGCATCTCCCAGGAGTCACAGCTCCGGCCTTTCCTTAGTGTGTGACTGGAAACGTTTCCACCCTTCCTTACTCCAGAAAGTCTGTCTATTTCCTCTCTTCTCAGAATAGCAATCAATGATCAGCCCTGCCTACATCCCTGAGAAAGTGTTAATGTGTATGCAGGAAAGTCTGTATATTCATGAATTCCTCCTTGGCAGGGGCACTTAAGGACATAGATCTATTGAAAAGGGGTCTGAAACACCAGAAACATTCTACTTAAAAGTAGGAATTTTTGGAGTTATTTTGAACAGGAAGAATGTATTGAGCACCAATGTGGGGCATGGGGAAGACACAGAGCAAATATTGAACTTGGTCCTTACGATTTTGTAAGGAGAGATAGATTTGTAAAAAATTAGAAATGCAATTCACATGGGTCAAACAATACAATTACATATTTTGAATCTAGCTCTGTCACTTGCAAACTGTATGACCTTGAAAAGTTACTCAGTTACTCTAAGTCTCATTTCCCTCATGTGTAAATATTGATGAACACTTTTTCTCAAAGTCGTTGGGGAAATTTACCATTATACTCTATAGAAGCTGCTAGCATATTTTATTTCATATTAGCAAATTAAATAAGAAATTATAATGTGATAGATAATTGCCTTGTAATTGCCTGTATGCATATTTTTCTACAGAAAAATCATCCAGAAAATGGATGCATTTTTCCCTGTATCTCCAAGGTCTAGCATCATGACCAGCATTTCATCAGGATTCAATGAATATTTATTGAGTGAATAAGTAATTACTCTAGCAAATTTGTTGTATAATAATTAACACAATTCCTAAAGCATGTATTAGACTCACTGCACAGGCACATTGCACATATACCCACATTTGTGTACCTTCAATTTTTTAACTTCTCTGTGCTGAGAATCTTCACTTACCTTACACAAAACCCAGGAATAACTTTACTCAGTAAAATTTTACTGCATCCTCTAGTATACAACAAAATTAATGTCACTTACACTGGGTCGAAGAGTAAAGGCAGAATACCTATTAGTCTACTAAGTACATGGCAAGAAACCAGAACTATAATAAATATGTACAGAAGTGATGTCATAGAAAGGGGGAAAGTATGCACCAAAGAACCACAGCTATGCCTACTTTTATTTGACCACAGATATCCATTACCAATAAATACCTAAACATAAAGATATATTTTTGATCCTATAACACTTTTCCTTACTTTAAGAAAAAAAACATTAGATAACAAGACCTTTGGAAGCGCTGTAGAACTTCTTGAATCTTTCTTACTGTAATTATTATTAAATTGATAACCAAGGGTGAAATATAACTAAATACTTTATGAATAAACACACATAAGTGTTATCTGGATAGATGTGATAATTTGTTCTTACTGATACTCATCTCCAGTGTCAAAGAAAAGTTTGAAACTACTTAATAAATTAGATTTTGTGACACCATATGTCAAAATGCAGACATTCCAAAATACAGTATATACAGAACTATGACAACCTGTTATGTATATTCACCCACGAGCCTTACCCATTTCTGCATTTCCCCAGATGTGCAAAATTTGATGCACCATAACTGTGGAAAATTAATTAATTCTTACAGTGGATACTTACTCTGCTTCTTACATGATTCCATTCTACTAGGCCCTGTTTTTTCTCCTCTGGAACACTTGGATGATCCTTCTCCGAATCTGCTTGGTCTTCACACTGTAGACAATGGGGTTTAGCACAGGGGGGAGCAGCAGGTATATGTTGGCCATGAGCATGTGCACTACTGGTGGTAAATGCTTACCAAATCTGTGAATCATGGAGGAACCAATAAAAGGAACATAGAAGAGGAGCACAGCGAACATGTGAGAGAGGCAGGTGCTGAGGGTTTTGAGCCTTTCACCACTGGAGGCAATGCCCAGCACAGTTTTCAGGATGAGTACATAAGACATTAGAATGAGGAGGGCATCGAGCCCCAGTGTGAAGATGACGACGATGAGGCCATAGAAGCTGTTGATGTGGGTGCTGCCACAGGCTAGCCGCATCATGTCTTGGTGAAGACAATATGAATGAGACAAGACATTGGAATGGCAGAAAGGTAGGCGTTTTATAAGGAAGGGCACAGGGAAGACCACACAGACTGCCCGGGTGAAGATAGCTATTCCAATCTTTCCAATAACACCATGAGTGAGGATGGAAACATAGTGTAATGGGTTTCGGATGGCCACAATTCTGTCAAAGGTCATGGACACTAGGACTCCTGATTCTACTATTCCAAATACATGGATGAAGAACATCTACATGATGCATGAATCAAAAACAATCTCAGGGACATTAAACCAGAAGATGCTGAGCATGGAGGGCAAGGTGGACAGGGACAGACTAATGTCAGTGAGAGCCAAGATAGAGAGGAAGTAATACATGGGCTCATGCAGACTTGGCTCCACCTTGATGACAGCTAGGATGGTACCATTTCCCAGGAGTGTGAGCGTGTAGAGAAATCCCAGGGGAAAGGCCAACCATTGGTTCTTGTCTGGCATTCCTGGGATACCTGTCAGAATGAAGCTATAGCGGTGGGCATGTGATGCATTCAAATTGGTCATGTCGTTGTTCTCACCATTGGGTGGGGCTGGACTCTTCCACTTGGCTCACAGCTCCTAAAATGAGTATATATTCTCATATAGACAGTACAATGGCTTTATGAATGCATGGGTAGAACACCAGGGGAAAGAATAAAGTTAAAAAACAACTTTAGATAATAATTGTAACACTTTGTCTTTTTGCTCGCTACACAGTCACTTGTGATGACTTCTTTTCTCTTGAAATACATTTCTGTATTTGAAAAATGAAGACAAGATTAAACATCCACTGTTTAGACAGTAAAGAATTTTGATATCTCCTCCTTGTGTAGCTCTCAAGGTTTAGCAGAAAAGAAGTAGATATAACCAAGGTCTTCATAACATAGAGCATATTGCTAAATAATTTTTTAAAACCCCACTAACTCACAATACCATCACTGCATGACTACATACAATCCCATTGTCATTATAACCTACATTCACATAAATCCATGTGTATTAGAGTGTTTTATACATATATATGTATAATATATAGATATACATATATATAATATATACTTCAATATACTTTTATGATATATACTTCTATATACTATATATTATACACATATAATATACACTTCTATATGTATACATGTTTGTATATGATAGGATATATACTCTACACACACATAAATGTATTAGATTGGTGCAAAAGTAATTGCAATTTTTGTCTTTTTTAAATCTAATATGTGCTTGTGTATATATATGTGTGTGTGTATATATGGTTATATGTATATATAGATATATGAGAGGGGGAGAGAGAGAGAGAGAGAGAGAGAGAGAGAGAGTATGTATCCTGGATATCTATTGTAAGGATAATTGTAATGAATTACATATGCAGATATGCACATTATTGGATGAAATTATTCATATTAAAATTTAATCTTCAGAAATTTCAATAATCTATAATTTTCCATAATCTCACTTTAAGGTAGCTAGAAGAAAATAAGGGTTATTGGCTCATAAGCAACCATACATAAGATAAAAGAGAATAGGCACTTACAGGACTCTATTCCTATAGCATATAATACTTAGCCCAGTTCCTTCAGGCTCCCTTACTAATCTTTCTGTATCCATGAGTGCCCCCGTTTAATACATTCTTCATTCAGCAGTTAGAATAGACTTTTTAAAACAAATGCAAATCTCATTTATTCATCTCAAGCAAAATTCCTTGAAGGGCTCCCATTGTACTTAGAACAAAGCTCTAAATCCTTATTTTAGCCTTCAATGTAAAGCAAGATTCAACCCCTACCTACCTCTCTACCACCAACTCACACCATTTACTCTCCCCTTTGGTCTCTCTAATCCAGCCAAATTTGTAGTCTTTACGTTCCTGGATCCCAGTGAGATACTTGCTGATACAGGGTTTCTACATGCAGTCTTTCCAGTTCTTTCTGTTTTTCTTCATCCCTCGTAAAGCTCCTCTTTGCCCAAGTGAAGCCTAGCTGTCCTTCCCAAGTATGCTGATTCCAAATATCCACAGTAGTTTAAGGTCTCCTCATACGCTGTTTTCATATTTTTGGGCTCTTCCTACTTATAAGTTAGTTTAGTTAAACATTGCATATGTATTTGTTTAATGTCTATCTCTCCTACTGGAGGTTTAAACTTCCTGAAGGAAGTTTAAAGGACTATTTATGGTTCATCACCTCATTGAGCATATGCAAGGCATTTATTAATTTTTCCATATTAGTGCAATGTCAACATAAAATAATGAATGGGTGAATATGGATGATTGAATGCCAATTTTCTTTCAGAAGAAATCTTATAATCCCTCAAACTCTGTTTTGATCTTCTGCAGATGAATTAAAAATCTTCAACAAAGAGAAAAATCTATCTTTCTAAGAGGCCACAGACAAAAACTTTAATTGGGAGTCTGTGAGAGGTATTAAGTTGTCTTTGTTCTCACCTAGGTACTTGTGAGAAAAGAAAAACCATCCCAAGAGCTGGTCTGGGAACTCTGAGGTTGGGGTGAGATCAGGCGTGCACGACCTAGTAGTTTCCCTACCTTTTCTGCCTCCTATTTCTCTGCTCTAGGATGAAGATTTTCTGTTAGAAAAAAGTGACTGCTAATAAGTTATTTTACAGATTTAAGTCTCTTAAACACAGAAGACTTTTTGAAAGGTAGTGCAGTCCACTCACAGTTGTGTCGTGTCTTTCTAATAGAATTTGGGCCCCTCTCTCCCTGAAATCACAATGGTCCAGATCTAAACAAAGTACTTCATGATTCCTGCTCAACCTTCTGCCTGCACTCTGAGGAGGGGTTTTGTTTTACTTTAAATGTTAAGCGAGAGCCTTGACTTGCTTGGGTCTGCTGTTCTGTATCCCCAGCAATTCTCGTGCTTTTCAGGTGGGAATGATCAACTGGTTCATCCCTACCAGAGGTTTTTTGGGACCTACTTGAAAAATCTTTAACATTCTTTAAGTCCTGAGGACCTGCTGAAGCTCTGTTCTTCCATGCAAATAGTTGATTTTCATTTACCTCTTCTGTTTTACTGCTTTGGACTCTGATTTTCCTTACCTGAATCAGTGTTTTACCCTCATCTTCTTTTTAATTTTTCGTTCTTATATCCATTCTTCATCTTCCTTCTTTCAATCTTCTTTAACTTCTAGACCCCTTCTTTCTCTATCTCCCAGTGAGATTCTTATGCGTTCTTCCATTCCATCTTTATTTTATGCTTAGCCGTGCACTACACCCTCCCATATAATGTCTTCTTTTACTCCTGAAAACAACACCTGCATTTTACTTCTTCTATCCATCTTTGCTTTCTACCAACACATGACATTCTATACACTATTCTCATCTGTCTTTATCATGTTCCTCTCTAGAATTTATGTGAGGATTTAATGAAAAAATGAACTAAATAATCTTACACAGAGCTTGCTAAGTAGAGAACATGGAAAAAATCTTTTAAGATTAATTTATTACCTTTATCAACCTTGTGCTATGATTCAGAATTAATTTGCTTATTTCCTTTCCTGAGACTAGCATTCAAGGCCCTTATAAAGACTACCCAAATCTCTGGTGGCATCTGGAGTCATCATGATTCTCCAAGGATTTCACAACTCCTCTGGAAGAACTCCCATGAAGGGTGTTATGTAGTGCCACTTGAGTTATCCCTTCCTAATTTCCCTAAGAACTCTAAACCTTTCCTTTATATGTCAGACTGTCCTCTATTCAGTCCATATTTGTGCAAAATTTGTTTTCATTTTAATTTTATTTGCATAGTCTTAATGAGGTATGAACTCACATACATGCACCCAAATGCATGTGTATGTATGCACAAATACACACTGATTTGAATCATGTTTAATCGCTAAGTAATGTTTACAATTCCAGCCCGATTTCAGTTCAGGTCTTCTGACTCCAAAGCCAGTCTCAGTCTCAGTGACGACATAGTGTTGCGATTTGCCATGAAACAGGGCTGGAGTCTGCCATCGTTTGGAATGAATGGAATGGTTATCTGAATTCTGCTCATCAGGAACATAGAAAAACATGTTCTTTGAATTTGCTGAACTTCTTTGGTTTTTTGAATTGTTATTTCAATACATCATGTAAAATTTCTTGCATTTGATTTAATGTATTTTCTGTAAGGATGTTTTTCATTAAAGAGGTAATTCTTAAAATTAGAGGAACAGCTGGTTACTCAAGCCTGTGCCTTTGTGTGGTCAGGGTTAAATTGTTCACAGGCACTTTCTATCACATCTTTATGCCCTTTTTATCTCAGTTACTTTCTGTCACAAGCATATTTACATAATCAAGACAAAAAACAAAAGTCAGATATAAACAATTCTTGTGGTAATTCTTTAGTTCAGGCATGGCCAAGAGTGTATGGCCAAAAGTTATTCATTTATTTTTAATTTTTAAGCCCATTAGCTCTAAAAGAGATAATGCATACTATAACCACTAAGGTCTAGGGATTTATACTGTGTGTCAACACATTTTTAATAAAAAATTGTGAATATTTCTGTCTGACATACTGTTCGGGTTAGAACTAAGAACACACAAAACGCTTGATGCAACCCCCCTGAGTGTTTATCTGGCGGCTTGAACTCCCCTGGAGATATCAGGCCTTGACTCCTCCATGTCTATAGAAACTGATGCCACCTCTAGAATAAACTTCAGAAAGACTCCTACTGGGAAACTATCCTAGTAATTTCCTATTATCTGGAGATTAATCCATCAAAAGTCTTCCTGTCCATATCTAAAATGGCTAAATATGGTAAAAAGAATAGATTTTAGGAGTCTTATATGCCTTGTTTTAATTCACAGTTTTAATTTTTTGAGCTCTTTGGTTTTAGGGAAAGTTATTTAACCACTCATTCATCCAGCATTCCTTGTTATCTATTATTAAATGAATTCTACTCATGAAGTACAGCTATTCCTCCTCCTTCCCATCAGCATTTATACAACCAAATTGGCCTAGTGGAAGTCATATAACCATGTTAACTATTTTCATTTTAAATTTATTTATTAATAAAATTATAAAGTCCTTGCCAAGGCCTCACATGTTCTTTCATTACTTCCACATTATCACACTTTATGACTTTTTTTCTACTCCCTTAGTTAACTATTTATGCACCTTGCTGCAACCAATTTTTCAGTGTTTGAACTAGATCCTGTCACTATTATCTACCTGGGAACTTAACTTCAGAAATTCTTATTATAACTTGTTCTTTTTTTCCTCAAACGTTTGTTTTGGAATCAGGGGTACATGTGCAGGTTTTTCACAAGGGTATACTGCATGATGCAGAAATTTGGAGTACAAATAAATGTCACCCAGGTAGTAGGCATAGTATGCGATAGGTAGTTTTTCATCCCTTACCCTCTCCTTCTTCCCTGACTAGTGGTCTCCAGTGTCTATATTTCTCTTCTTTTTGACCATGTTAAGCCAAAGTTTAGCTCCCACTTATAAATGAGAACATGTGGTACTGGATTTTCTGCTTCTGCATTAGTCCACTTAGCATGATAGCCTCTAGCTGAATTCATGTTACTGCAAAGAACATGATTTTATTCTTTTTTTATGACTG